CTCACTTTTTTCTCAGCATAGCAAAATGGTGATAATATCCATGTGCACATATAAAACCCTTCAGCGCCAGAAGCACTTTCCAAAGCAGTTGTGTGAACCTGGAAAACTATGTGGTTGCTTTAATGGGTCAAGGAAAGGTGTTATGCATACCCTCTCAAGCACTGTGAAGTATAGGCTTCCAAAGTTTTCCACAACCTGATTCAATCTATTTTAGACCACACAGAACACAACACTTTCAACAGAAAGTGAAGGAAGGGTCTTGCAGTCCTTCTAATACTGTTACATCTCCCATATGGTGAGGAATGTTGGAAGCTGTGGTTCAGCAACACCTAGGAGGCCACTGATTCTGCATCTCTTAATGAATGATTTCTGCTTGATATGCTCAAACCTGGTACTACAGCACATAGAACTTTGTGCAACTTATAAATCAACACTGAACTAAAATGATATGTAAGGAGAATACCCAAATGCTCCAGCATCAGGCTTTTCTTTCAAGCACAGTTATACGGTGGACATTATGTTTAACTTTACAACTATATGTATATTACTTTGAGTAGAGGTGCCATTGAGTCTAATAGGATCAACCTGCTAAAAAGTATGTTCAGGATTCCATATCATTCATATATGTATGTATGTATGTGTGTGTGTGTGTGTATGTGTGTGTGTGTCTGTGTGTCATATTCATACAGGTTTGTAGCTAGCTGTATTTTTATCTCAAGAATTAATAACTGCTTTAGGCAGGAAGGGACCTTTACTAGTTTATCCTTCTCACTCTGACCTTATTATTTATGAGTGCAATTGGGCATAAGACAGACAGACAGATAATTTTTTGCTAACTCAATAGAACTAATGGAGTTAGCAGTATTATCAGCTGTCTTTTATTTTAAATGTTATGGCATGCTCCAAGAAAACCTAGGAAAGAAAATAACTGATGAAGTGATAAACATTTTATATACAGCCTTTAGATGGAAGTCGGATCCATTCCAATCAGAAAAGAAATTTCTAGCATGATAGGAAGTGGAGACAGAAGGCTAATACAAAGTGATGATTCAGAAATATATATTGATTCTAAATTAAAACACATACAACTACTGAGAAACTTCATTGGGTATGCTTATACAGAGGTTAGGCTAAGGAAAAGTAATCAGACTGGCATGTTTTTGCCTATATTGTAGAAAATCCAGTTCAGTGGTTTTGGGGACACATTAAGCAACCTATCCTAACATCTCTTACAGGTCCTTCAGTCCATCCAGGAGAAACCAAGTGCCCTTTTATTCCCTATGTGCAAATGACTGGCAAAATTTTAGCCCAATTCCACTTCATGTCTTAACCCAGCAGCACACAAAAAGTTTAATACGAATAAATTCTGAGCTAATAAGGTTCCTTCTTTAAATGTTGACACAGTATTATGCATATCCCATAAATACCTTCTGACTAAAATTCATCCCAGGAGATTGGCACCATGCCAGGGCTATTCATATTTACTGTATTTATATAGTACAGTTGGCCAAAGATAATATTGAAGACAAAATATGCCTTGAGATATATACAATATCTCTGGGTTTTCCTTTTAAATCTCTTCATTGCTAAAAATATTTACACTGAACTTTACAAAATGTCCCACAAAGACCTATCAGGGATCTGCACAGTGATATATAGCCAACTATGAGTATAATTAGAGCATATTTGTAATATTTGAGCTGTAGTCTGTTACCAAACGCTAATGTCTCTGTGGTTTAAAAAAAAGTTTCTTTTTAAAAAAAAAAAAAACAACAACCCTGAATGATTACTCTTTCCCAGGCCTTTTACTCTATGACCTCAGTGTGTTTGTAGAGATCTCCTCCCCTCCTACTACCACCACATTGTCTGCTTGACTGGTACTAAAAGACTTAAACCTTTTAAGGCTGAAAGGAAACTGAAGAGCAGCCTAGCCTTGTGTTTTCTCATTTATATTGTAGCCGTTTCTTCTTGGCTGTGTATGTTTTTTCCCCTTTGGAATGGCTCACCCAGCCTAACATATAACTAGACAGCAGTGGAAAAACGGTTAACTCTTTTACTCTGATCTTCTCAACCAAGTATTTGCACAGGAAGCCTGGCTGCAAGCAAGCAAGCAAGCAAGCTGTGGGCTCTTGAACAACTGATGCTCCCTATTGGCCAAGGTCTGCAACCTCCACTTGTCCTTTTCTGCCGTTCTATTTCAAGTGTTGGGGACACTTTTGCATGCATGGTAAGATAACCCTTCAGTTTCTGTGGATAGTTGAATTTTCCAGGGGAAAAAAATGCATAGCTGTAAATCATTCACTCTGAATAAGTGAGTGAACAGAGAATAACATGCTTCTTTCTATGGCTCAGCCACATCAGAAAAGTGCTCAAAGAGACTGCGAGGGCTTCACCCTTTTCTCTTTGTATTTAAAATGGTAAACAGTTCTCCAAAGAAATGAGTTTTTCCATAATGTTAGCCACATGGGGGGGGGGGGTGGAGAGGGCAGGCAATTGCATGTGTGGATGTGTGTACATGCACATAAGTATGTGTGCATTCTAATGTCTTGAGTTCACTTCTGCATTTCAGTGTTATTGCCACAAATTATACCAGAGAGCTTGCACATCCCTCCTTGGCTCCAGCACGTTCTGCAAAATGTTTTTTTTCCCTCGGGGCAGCAAGGGTGGAGTGTGTTTATCATAGACTTCTGGATGGTGCCTTAATTACAATAATAAAGCCCTTTGATTCCCAGGGTGTCCTCTTCCTTGGATTGTCATTTGACAATAAAAAGAAGAAAGAGAAGGCAGCTCACTGAGAATTGGGTGCAGAAATTGCTGGCTGGCACCCTAGCTGCCTGACTCTCATTGGCGTGCCCCAGCAAGCCTCAAAGATACACCTCTGTAACATATATAGAATATTGAGAATAAAATATATAGAATATTGAGATAGAAAATCTAGCATGGAGTTACCCAGAAGGCTGCAATGCCTTCTCTATTACCTGCTTCTCAGAGATGATCAGGTATCAGTATATAGGCTCCATATAACAGAAGCAGAAAAGAACAAATTAGAAAATTAATCAGTGAGCAGATGCACTTTAGTGAACACTTTGAGATCCCATCCTTTTATTCCTCCTACAAAATTTCTCACACTGACCTACATTTGAGTATTGTTCTAAGACAATATTTGGCAACTTTAAGAAGGGTGAACTTCAACTCCCAGAATTCTGCAGCCAGTGCATGCTGGCTGGGGAATTCTGGGAGTTGAAGTCCACCCATCTTAAAGTGGCCGAGGTTAAGAAGCATTGTTCTAAGCAATTCTGCTCCAGACCACAATAACCAGCCTGATTTTCTAAAGAGCAAAAAAGTCCACAATTTCAGAGAGTAAAGCAACAATCCTGTCTAAAGTTACCTAGGAGTAAGACCCACTGAACTTAATGCAACTTGCTTCTGAACAGACATATATATACAGGATAGCAGTATAACTTTGCAATGTTGTGCACACTTATGTGAAGATAACTCCACTGAGCTGGAGTTGTTTCTAGTTATGATGCAGAGCATTGTTATTTTTATATTTATATCTCACCTTTTTGGGTATATAAGCACTCTAATTGACTAGACCTTTTTGGCCACAGCCCAACAGCAAGTCCAAACTGGAGCTGCAATTTGAATTCAAGTCTGCCACTGCCAACACTTAATGCTCAGCTTTTAGATGTGTATGAAGCCAACTTCTTCAAGCTCGCCCTGATCTTCAGGAGAGAGTCCATCTAATCAGATCCAGCTGACACATTCCCAGGCTGTGTCCAGGAAGCTGGCCTTAAGAAAATGTTGGAGGGAGATTTATTTTGTACCTGGAGAGAAGATGACCACAAATATGATAGACTATTAAACTGAAAAAAGGGTTTGGACAATTTTTGGGTAGGCAAGAAAAACTTGAGTTTTACAGTCAGAAACCATTCTTGTTTTTCTCCATTCTCCCCACTTCTTACCCCCTCCTTCCCCAATTCCAACATAATCCAGCAGTGGCTAGAGAAGAGGCGGCCACAGGATGGAAACAAGAGATAGGAGACTGCTAAGGCGATAGGAAGGGGTGTCGGGAGTGGGCTCCTGAGGAGGGGGGGCAGAGGGTGGTTATAATCCCATCTGTGATGTTTGTTGACCCAGGTGCTCGCTGAGAAAGATTCCAGGATTTGCAGAAGTGTCTGACAAAGTGCTGAGGTGGAGAGTATCTAAGGAGAAAGCACTGGGGAGCTAGAGTTCCCAACTGAAGAAATATAGAGAAATATTACACAAGGAAGAATGACAGGAGAGAATCAGAAAAAGGAGGCTTACAGATATTTCTGCTCCTCGAAGACCGGCCAAATTGGGGTAGGGTGGGATGTTATGTACTCTTTAACAAAAGCTTTATGAGGACATTCCTTGCATTTGTGTTCTCTGCTACGAAGCCTTTGCAAGTGCTTAGGTCCGGATGTGTATGGTTTAGTTCTCACAGAAGGGTAAAAGACAGGCACTCTGCAGATGTTCAGAGGCACAGGCATCTCTCTTCTTACTTTGCGTGTCCCAAGGTTACACCTTGGCACTCAAAACATTCCCAAGGGTTAGGGTGCAGAGCCCGATTTCCCATTAAACCTCGTTGATGAAACTTAGCTCACTTGCTTGGATTTTCATCCTGAGGAATAATGTTGCTGGCTGTGCTGTGCTACTTAAGTAATTGCCGAAATGCAACTGGTAGGTGGCTAGGTCAACATCCTCCCTTTTGCAGAGGAAACCCCTTGTTACACTTTTAACATGTGGGGGAGGGGTCTGGAATGTCAAACAACTGAATTACACTCTGGTCTCCCCCCCCCCAATCTCTGTGGGACCTGAACCGCCAGGCACCCACCTGAGGTCTCAAGACAACCGAGAAGACACCTCTCCACACCTCGCACACACACCCCGCCAGGCACATTATACACATACAAATATACGCAGCAACCAGAGCTCTACCTGGCACAGGCGCACAGAATTATTCAGAGCAGACTTACTTGCCGACGGGTAGTAACTCCCCATGTCAATTTTGTAAACTTCTTTGGCGTAATATTCCTCATCGCTCCTTTCCTTTTCGCAAGAGGCCGCCCTGTGGTTCGCCTTCTCCTGCAGCAAGTCCCTCGTGCTGTTGTAGATTGAGATGACCTCCGGAGGAACCTCCTCGGGCTCGGGGTACTCTTCCGGAGGGCTGGTGAGTTTCAGTTTGCTCAGGATCTGGCCTCGGATCGCTTCGATCCGCTTACGCATGAACTGGTCCGTGTCTAGGGTGCTGCACGTAGACAGGGCAAAGGCCACCGTGGCCAGATCCAGGGTGAGGAACACGCTCAGGAGATAGCAGTGCATTTTAGGAAAAAAAAAGGTTTAAAAATGAAAAATAAAATAAAGCCCAAAACACACTTCTTTTCCCTTAGCTTCTCCCACAAAGAAAGGACCAAAATGTTTCCTGGAATTTTCTCCGTGGCAGTTGAAGGTGTGCAAACGAGGTTCAGATCTTTTTTTTTTAAAACAAAACAAACAACGAGTGATCGAAAGAATAAATGCAACCGATCGTTAGTCCAAATAGCGTATGTCAAGTTGCCAGTCCGCCAAACTGCTTGAATTGGTTGCAAGTCCTAGAGCGAGCTGGCTGGCGAGCAGATGCGATGCTCCAGCAAAGGTGGAGGGTTCAAACCAGCAATCGCTTTCTATTAAAAAAAAAACAAAACAAAACAAACAAACAAAACCTGCAACAGGTAGCGCCTAATTAAAAAAAAGAAATGTAACAGGTTGCAAATGTTGCTTTAAAATCAGGAAAGCAGGTTGCCTTTTCTCCTCCCGGCTACCAAACAGAGAAAAAAGATAATAAAATCCCCAAAAAGTTGGGGGCGGGGGGGGGGAGAAATCACCTCTGGTACATACAAAAAGGGGGAAAAAAAATCTTAAGAGTTGAAGGAGTGCGTGGAGGAGGGAAAAAAAGGAAGGGAAACTGGCCGCCACTTAAAGCGAGGGCTCCGGAGACTCGGCGCCCTGCTGCCCACAAGCTCCCACGCTCCAAATTGAGATGGCACCGACTGGCAGGCGGAGGAAAGTAGGTCCGGGGTGGGGGGGGGATGCCCCCCTTCTGGGAATCAGTGCGTCGCTCCCCCCTTTTGGCCAGGGGATTCGCGTCCAGCTGCGAGCGGAGGCGAAAAGCGCCCACGTGTGTAGAGATGCGTGCGTGCGTGTGTGTGTGTGTGTACGCGCGTGCCGGCGCCAGGACAGACCCCGAGACGCGCCTGGGACAGCTGGGCGCCTTCAAGGTGGTTCTGCCGGCTTCCCTCCCTTCTCCTCCCGCGACTCTTGCTCTTCGGGCCCCCCACCAATCCCCCTTCGCGGCGTGGGCAGCGCTCTGAGCGGTCCTGCTTTCCTGGGGACGGCCGCGGCTGTTTGCATTAACCGATTAGTTCACCTCCCTCTCCACCACTCTCTCTCTCCCTCTCCTTCTCTCTCCCTCTCCCTCTCTCTCTCTCTCTCCCTTTCTCTCTCTCCTTCCCTGTGTCTCCCTCTCTCTCTCTCCCTTTCTCTCTCTCCTTCCCTGTGTCTCCCTCTCTCTCTCTCTCTCCCTTTCTCTCTCTCCTTCCCTGTGTCTCCCTCTCTCTCGCTGGCGACTGCTGGCTGTACAGCTTTTCCAGGCGCTCCCTCTCCTCCTCCTCCTCCTCCTCTTCAGTTTTTAAAAAGCCAAACCGAACCAGGAAGGCAGAGCTACCGCCGTTTCTCCGAGGCTTTCGCGATTCCGCCCCCTCCACCCGCGGGTTTTCTCCTAAGACTGGAGATTGCAAAGTTCGTTTTCCGCCCTCGCCTTGGCACTTTTCCTGGCGGAGTCGTAGGTGGCGTGCCTTTTTTGTCTTTTCTTTTCTTTTTTTTTTTTTTTTCTTTTTTTTGGCCCACGGCTCCCTCCTTCCCCACGGAGCTTGAAGAGACGGGGGCTGGCAGGCACGCCGCCCCTCGTCCCCAGGTTGCCTAGCCTCTCCCCTCTTCTCGACTCACGCCTTTCGCCCGCAGAGAACCTCACGCACTGGCGGAGAGGGCGGATTGATAAGGTTCTCTCGGACCGCGGGTGGGAGGGCGTGAGTGGCTCCGCTGCCTCCGCAAAATGACGCGGTGAGGGAGCCGACAGACTTAAGTGACCGGACGGATAAGGACCCTGACGCCTTCTTGAACTGGGCTATGTCTTGCTCTGTTCCAGGGAGGGGAAAGACCGAGGAAGCCCGGCAGGTCCACCTCAAAAAGATGGCGGTAGAAAGTGTCTTTGGCCAGGAGAAATCGGAGGTAGAGATGCTACAGCCGAGTCATGAGGTGCGAGCTAGAATGGGCTACCTGGAGCCTTCCAGATGTTTTAGACTTCAACTCCCACAATTCCCCTGGTGATGGTGTCCGGGGCTGAAGGGGGTTAAACTCAAAAGATCTGGAAGTCCAGGCGGTCAATCCCTAATGTGAACTAAGAAACAATAAAACGTGAAGATTTAATTAGTCTGGACAGAGCAGGCAGATTCATTCCCACTTGCTCTAATCTGGTTCCCAAATTTGCACTGTCTGTGATTCATATATTCCATTTCAAATGTCCTCTTTCTTGCCTCCATTTGTAGAATCTTGCCCAGTTATAAAACTAAGTTTCTACATACTTTTTGGCATGATTTGTGCATGCTTTAAAAAAAAAAAACCTTGCCAAATGTTCAGTGGCTGCAAGCTCCCAGTTGTTGAATGGCTTCAACATTACAAGGAAATGATCTGGTCATGATCTAGTAGTCATCTAATATTCTTATATGTCAGGGCTGGAGATCACTCCAACTACAGGAGCCACATTAAATATAAGAAATGGAGTGAGGGCCATTCATGTGCATTTTCAGCCTCCCCACTTTATGGTTGGCTGAACCACAAAGAGCCCAAGTGCATCTTGTTCCACTTTCACTGGCAAACTGCTTGCACACCTGTTACACTATTGAAGATAAAGCAAAAAAAATGTCCTTCTGTACACGTAGCCCTCAACTGAGTCCAACATTTTTGTTAAGTGAGAAAGTGAGTTTTCCCCATTTTACGACCTTCTTGGTACAGTTGTTAAGTGAATTATTGTGGTTGATAAGTTAGTAACCCGATTGTTACGTGAATCTGGCTTCCCCATTGACTTTGCTTGTCAGAAGGTCACAAGAGATAAAGGTCATGGATATGAACCAGTTGCCAAGCATCTGAATTTTGTTCATGTGATCATGGGGATGCTGCAAAAGTCGTAACTCTGAAAAACTATCATAAGTCACATTTTTCAGTGCCGTTGTAACTTTCAACAGTCACTAAACGAACTGTTTAAGTTAAGAACTATCAGAGCTTAGCTATTAACCTCGCCCCAGAGCACATGATTGATGGTTTGTTGGAATATGTTACCCTACTAGGGAGAGCTTCTCCAGCATACAATAATACTAATTCCCACTTACCAATTGGTAGATTTCAGGAGAGGGCAGTTCTCATGATAGGCACATAGTTTACCTTAGTTCAGAGGCCCCCAACCTTTTGGGCACCAGGGACCAGTTCTATGGAGAAAGATTTTTCCATGGACCAGAGGGGGCGTAGTTTCATGTGCTGCCTGCATCCCACGGATGGGGCTTCGCTTGTTTGCGCGGCCCGGTTACTGGCATGCCGAGGCCCGGTGCTGGTCCACAGACCGGGAGTGGGGGACCCCTGCCTTAGTTGAAGGGGAGCTTTTCTGCATGGAATCTGTTCCCAGATGTGTATCCTCTTCTCCCACTGAATTTTAGGACTGAGGATTCTATGCCCTGATTTTTTTTTCTCCAATAATTTAGGAATCTTGTCTGAGATTTGATGAGAATATGGTAGGTTTTTTTTTCTGTCAAGCTTTCCCTTCAAGGTGGCATCTTAAATTCAGGGTTATCATCTTGAAGGCTGTATCCCATAATCCATACAGTTTAATGCAGATGCATATGAACATGAAGCATTCTTTCAATGCTTCCTGTATTGTTTTACTGCTTTATTAAGCTGGGGCGCCAGCAAAGTAAGTGAAAAGTAACTATATTGTTTAAACAAGTTTTAAAAAAGTTTTTATGTTTACAATGAGTAGACTTTTTGCACTGGTTCAGCACAATTCAGGCTCTTTGTCAGATGAAGAGGAGGTTATGCCAGCATTTCTACAAAAAGGCTGTTTGGGGGATGAGAAGGATTCCCAAAGGACCACTTCTTCAAGTGATGTAAAACCATTTTTCCAGCTATAAAACCTATTTCAGTCCATCATAACTATTATTAATTTAATAGAAGAAATGACTCAACATGAAGGTCAGCATATGCTTGGCCAATTGGTTAAAACAGATTACCCAATGCCTCTTTTTGGCCACATTCATGTTAAACATGTTGGATTAATTTCAGTTTAATGTGTTGTACAAATTGAGATGCTGTTGATTTCAAAACCATAGTTTGTGGCAAAGTATGTAATAATGATTTGAAGCAATGTCACTATTTTAGAAACAAATGCCATACATCAACAGCTAAAATGTTATATCTTTCTTCATTGTTGGCTTCCTTCTTTAATTAAAAGACATTTTTTCAAGTTACCTAAAAGTCAGAATAAACATTTGCAGAGATCATATAGATGCAAAGTAATATGAAGATAAGATTTGTAGTAATGTTTATCTGTTCCATGTTTCTTGCTGAGTACAATTGGTTCTTTTCCACATATTTTAAAAATAAAACTTTACTGCAAAAATGGAGACACCTAGGAGATTGCTAAGAATCTTGTGTTTCCTTTGTTAGGAAAAATTATGTGATCCTTAACAATTTTGAAGTTTTTTTATCTTGATTTTTGATTGTTAAAAATAATAAAGTATAAAATAGAAAAAAACCACTTTATGCAACTGATGACCAAACTGTTATGTAAATAGCCATGTTTTATTAGCTGAGGGCAATTAATGAAGAAATATAAAAAACATTATAATTTCCAAAATATAACTTGTGGTATAATGACAATTTCCCATCCTTAAAGCAAGACTGATTGAAAAGTAACATGGGCTTGAAATGCTCAATCTAATTGAAGAACATGTTCATATACCCTGTCTTGTTACATGCTACAGCTGTGCTTCAAAAAGAATATTATTTTGGTTGGTCACATAGTCAGCCTGATGTTTAGACTGTTTGACATTTTTGTTAATCTATTGAGCCCTTCCCAAGGATCTGGGATAGGCAGATGTTGTCTGATGGTGTTAAAGGATATATTATTATAGGATGTAAGCTGTTTCAAATAAAGGTGCCTAAAGCAATCAACCGATAGTGATTTTGATGGTGTTCAAGTGGTGCTCCAGATATTTTGGGATTGTACCCAAGGCATCTATTCCTGTTTGTACTATCTTTGCTTTCTTTTGCCACAGTTGTTCCACTTCTATTTACAGATCTTTCTATTTTGTGATTTTTTACAGTTCTATATTTATCACCTACTATAATAATGACAATTATGCTGGTTATCAAGTAGGCTAGATCAGATTAATGTCCTGGTGAAAAAGTTCTTAGAAATCCCACCTTGCTACCTTAAATAAAAAAAAAGATTGCTTGATGATCATCTAATTTAGGATCTAAAAGATAAATGAAATTTGGAAACCCAATTTAGGCATGAAACCAGCTCGGTGATCTTGGACCAGTAATTCTCAGCCAAAGAAGGCAATGGCAAATCACTTCC